CTTGCCCCCTCTTTTTTTTCTTTTGTGGTGGAAAAAAAAGTCATACGATATACCTGTATGCAACCAGGGTAATACATAAGTTTGGGAAGTATTGCATAACAATAGCATATAGGTCAATGACTGAGTTTTATGGAAGATATTTAGGAAGGAATGGTAAACTTTTAAGTGCGGTGTCATAATTCATGTAATACTGAAGAGAGAAAGTCTTAATAAATGGTGAATGGCTTAAGTGTGGCCATTCTCCAAGCGTGCTATAATACATTTATAGTGCAACAATAAACTGCACGTTTGTCACCCTGTCATCTCACAAATGCTTATAGCTAGGTAATAGCTAATTTCCTTTTTGAAAAGCATCTACCCAATGTTGATTTGTGATGTTTTACAATTATTTGTTCTTATCTAGTACTAGATAATTTTCTCCACACCTTTAATACATTTTCAGAGGAATCTAGCCAAGTATAGATATTCATGGTTATAAAATCTAGTTTTGAATCTAGTTTTGCTGTGAAGGGAAGTTGAAATTCCATCATGTAAAACATTGTTTTATGATGTCTAGTTAGAAACACAGGAGGGCATCCTAGCACTGCTTTCCAGTTGTGCACACTGAGTTTATCACAGTTATTTTGTATTGCATGTTAATTAAGTTTTTACATATCCTAGTAGCACACAAAAAAAAGGCACCCCTACAGTCCTAACTATTCTATGCAGATGTCTTCCAAAATTTACAGGTACAATTTTAGTGGTGGTTGTTGGTAAATAGATTTTTTTTTTTACTTATTTATCAGCAGACCTGTTTTTATATGTATTAGTGACAGAATGGACTAAGCACAGCTGTAAGTTATTGTATTTCTGTAGAAAATGGAAAATAGTGTAAAATTGTTTTTGTTAAATGTTGACAGTTTTTAAATAAACTTCTCATATCCTAAAAAAACCTGTTTTCTGTGACAGTGTATTTACCTCAGACTCCAATTTCATTGTTTACCAAGAGATAGCCTTCCTAATTATTGCTAATTACTTTTCGGTGATAAGCTTCTTTTAATAGGATCTGCATCTTTTGTGAATTTAGGTGATGGTAGCAGACATATTTTTGGTCTATTTAAACATCGACAGTATTTTTCCAAATGCATTCCTACATCTTTTGTTCAAACTTAGTTTATGAAAGCATGGAGATGAACAACAGTTCTTCCATGTTAAGAAATTTCTTTCAGGCATTAGACAGCTGGCTGTACTGTCTAGAGTTGCAGAACTTGGACAGCTGCATGATGCTTGTGTTTCTGTAACTTCTTTAAGTTTCAGCATGTTGTTCAGTGACATACCTTTTTTAAAATCTGAAATAGCTAGAAGAGCTTATGCCAGTCTTTCTAGGGTTCGTAATATTTCTGTGCTGTTATAATTGATGGGAAAACATTTCACAGACCTTAAAAGCAGGTGACTGCCCTCTTATGGTCAAAAAATATACTTTGATTCATATTAAAGAGAGGTACAATATAGAAGCATGGTACTTTGATCCCAGTTGATGGCCTTTAGACCATAAATTTTGCTGTATAAATTTTATGAGACTACCTGAAGAGGAATTCTCAGGTGACCTGTAATCCAAACTGGATAAAAATATACTTCAGGTATGCTCATTGTTTTCATAAACTTTCTGATTATGCAAATACATAGGCATTAACACCTGGATCCAGTGTCCAGGTTTCAAATCTGCAGCTAAGCTCCTCAAATAGAATTCTACTTCCTGTATAGTTTTTTGCTTTCATTTATCAAAAAATTGTTCATTGTTTATCAAAACTAAATTACATGTTAAGATGTCTTTCATAGACTTGACTTAATGCTGCAGTAAATTTGCTGTCAGTCCTTGTGTATCAGGGCAATCAATAGCTCTCTAAAGAGCTTTCATTCCAGGATGTTACCCAAATAATTAATAATTTATTATATTTATTTATATAAAATAATATTGAATTATTAACAGAATGTGTGGTTGGGCTTGGGTTTTTTAATCTAAGCAATGGCTACATTAGGATATTTAACAGTGTATGTAAAAATTCTTCAAATAAAGTTAGTTTGTTTTAGATATTTTGCAGTGCATGACTGGAATAGTAGGTCAAATAATTCTCAGGTTTAATTAAATGTTTCTTGGATTGTCTTGTCATCCTGGTATCTTGTTCATCAGATACACAAGCAGAGTAGTGAGCTAATAAGTAATGAGCTATGAAAATAAATTTAAAATGTCATGTGTCATTCTATTCTACTTGTGTTCTGTAATATTTATTTGTTCTCTGGTATAGGGCTTCACATCTTCCACTGTTGTCCAGTTCCAATAAATACAAATGTTCCCCAGCTACTGATAAGAATAAGAAGACCTCCAGAATTCTTCTGCTGGATGCCTTCTCAGTGGTGGCATTGTCTGTTTTTTCAGCAGTATGAAGCATCTGGCTGTTAACCCTGCAGTCTGTTTGGGGTTGCTACACCTTTGAAAAGCAAGCCAGGGATTCATTGCTTTTTGCCAGACCCTTGAAACACCTTTGAGAACTATTTTTCTGCAGTATCTGGTAAAGAAGTAAAAGAGGAAAGTGAAAATGTCATGTCAAGAAATAGCAGAAAGGGGTAAGTTGGTGGGGCACTGCCTGGAAAAAAAAGCACAACAGAAGCAGTTTTGTGGTTTGGCTAACTAAGTCTTACCATTACCTACACAAGATATATCTGACGTATTGACAAGCTGGGAAAGCAGTGTCTAAGGCAAGAAGGCAGCCTTTTGAGGGAAAGCGCATTTCAACATTTGAAGTGGAGCATTTGCAAGGGAATTCTCTTTTACTGTGGAAACAGCTTTCTCTGTTTCTTTTGCATATATTCTCAACTCGAACATGCCCTGTAGTATCAGTATTTCTTTTGCCAAAGTAACCTTTCCTAGTGGCTTACAGCTCAAAAGCCAAGGTAGATAACAAAGATTTGTAGCTGCAGAACCCATGGGGTTTCAGAGGTCTTTCTTGCTTTCTCCATATAAGCTCACTTGTTTAAACAAAAGTATTAATCTGCCTGGCAGCTCCATCTGATTGGGAAAAGTGTCAACATTGAAAGTGCACTTAGTGGTTTCCATGGAAATTGGTGATTACCAAGTGGAGTCAAATGGAAGGCAGGTAGAGAAAAGTAAGTCCAGCTTTTTACTGTCGTTATCCACCCTAAAGCTAAAAGTAAACATGTTTAATTAAACACATACAGGCACAAAGCAAAGTAAAACTGTAAGGCATCCCAGTTCTGTAGTGTCACTTCCGGTTAGCATACCTGTGTTATGCATGTTTAGCTATATGGGAGATGACTGTTCTTAGCCAGGGAGATTTATGAAAACTGCAAACAAATCAGTGGCGCCATGAAAATTTAGTAGCTACTAATACCCTGTTGACCTTAATTTCTTTTCTTGTTGGGGTGGCTTCACTACCAAAGGGCAATATGGCTTTTTCTGAGGAAAAGGGAAATAGGAACCTTCCTCTGTGTGTGTAACTGCTGTCTTCACAGTATACTGTCTGGCCCCATTTTGCAGGTGACTGTCTCTTTTTGTACCCTTTGCTGTCTACCACTGCTTTGTTCCTCCCCATCCCTGCTCCTGCACATTCGTGCATCAGTCTGCACAGCTTCACCGACCCCCTCAGGCATCTCGGACCCTCGGGTTTGCATCCTCATCAGTTGCGACTTTCCAACTTTGAGATGTGCCTATGGTTTCTTAATAATCCATCAGTTAGTGTGACTGATGAGGTCTGTTTCTTGCCTTTGTGTTAGTTTGTCTGTTGGATTGTGTATCTGTGTGTTCTTGTTTATGGCTTACCCTTTTACTTATTGTCCCCTTTGGTACTGAAAAAGTCCTTGACCAGATACCCTTAAGGGAACAGAGGCTCGCTCCTTGCACAAACAAGTTTGCCTGTTTTCAGAGAACTTGAAAACCTTGTGTTTTTCACCTCCTCAAATAATAGACATCCTTAAACCTGACCCAGCAATCTTTGCAAGAGGAAAAAAAGTCACTGGATAGGAACTGCATTAAATACATCATCCTGCAAATCTATTGGATGTTACATCTCATTTGTAGCTGCCATCTACCGTCTGGTGACCAGTGTTTATGCATAGTCTCCCATTAAGTGAAACTTTTCCAACTGGAAGGTATAAAAGGATCTTTCTATACTGAACGTAAGACATACCTGAACTTGATCTAAACAAGCAGGCTTCCTCCTGGGCTAATTTACTTTGACAAGGAGGATGTTCCATTTTCAACATACAAAGTGACACTTAACATTTAGAAGTTAATTTATCTCTATGCTTCACCATCACCTTAAAAAATGTGTTATAACAGACTTTAGATACATTAACAGATCTTGTAATTTTAATGAATGCAAATATTAGCATAAACACAAATCTAGACAGACCACTGTTTTCATTTAGTCTGTTCCTTCTGTGTTCTCAGAGAACGTGAAGACTCTCAATTTTCCACAAGGCTTTATTGTCAACTACTCATCATTAAACCCCGCAACTATCCCTGACTACTACTGTGACAGTAGTAGTTACTGCTAACTCTTGTATATTTTGATTGCTTCATATTTCAATAAAATCTTTTATTTTTTCATTCTTATATTTTCTATCGAGGCTACCACCTCCATGATTTCATCATTGATTTGGAGTAAGTTAGGCTGGGTTGGATTTTTGTTTTGGTTTTATGTATATACTGAGCTTTGGATTTACATTGCATTCCTCTGATCAGCAAGGCCTAGGTATCACACATTACCATGGAACTGACATTTGAAAAGGGAATCACATACAATTCGTAGGTACTTTAAAATTTAAAAAAAAAAACAAAAACAAAAACAAAAAGAAAAACCAATTTTACTAGCACTTCTCTTTCAGTGTTTAAAAGGAGCACTTCCAGTCCTGACAGGCAGCTTGGTGAGGCCTAGGATGTAAACATTTTCAAGGTACTCAAACAACAGGTGTGATATAATGTATTATATTTTTTGTATGGGATAGCTACCCCTGCAACTTTTATGTGCTTCAAAGAAGAAAGGGTAAAAGATCACACCTGATATTTGTCACAAGCTTCACCTTGAAAAAATAAGGCTTGCAGCATGTTCTGAAAGTCTCCACTTGCAAGTGATCTCCTGGATCCAACAGATCGCAGGAGGGAGTTTGTGCCTCTGAGGATCTTTCACCAGGAGTATTGCTTTTGCTCTCTGTTGGACTCCTTGGGGGTACTAGTGGAAGTGCCTCAGCTGAGTTTCTTCCAACTTGCCAAAGTCCAATCCCAAAGCTATCATGAAGGATACCAGTGTCAAGCCATTAACTCGAAACCTGAAATTGCAGGCAGGATGCTATGGGTTAAAAAACAGGAGCTGAGCCTAATACCATCCTGGTTTTGCCAAGCAGTCGGGCTTATGGCATCACATGCAGTGCTAGAAGTACCTGACTCCAGGAACCAGCCCACCAATGATGGTACCATTTGGCTTGTTGCTAAAGTGACAAAAAAATCCCCGCTGAGAAAAAAATCCAGTTACCTGATTAATGTTAAGATTCATTTGGGATTTTCCACATTCTGTAGAGCAAGCACTCCTAACTGCCCACATTCCCTGCAGGTGTCTTTGGCAATGGGCTTCACCTGCCTCACCAACAGATGGAACAACCACTGACCCTGCCAAATCCTACGCTTCCTTCAGCCTTGCAAATCACACACCACTGCTGCCTTCTCTAAATTAGGCTTTAAACTCACATCCCTCTCCCAGAGACACCTCAGAAATTGTATTGTAATGGAATGATGAAATGGAGGAGAAGCTATTGGTAAAATCACACTGCTAGAAGACACACGTTCCAGAAGGTTTCTAAACCTTTTTCCCCTGTATAGCTGAATATGAAACGCAGGTTGGGAGTCTGCAGAGTCACTGTTAGAGGAGGCCATTTGGGTGGACTAATAATGTCCTATTTCCATCTGCTGTTAGATATTAGATGGAGAAGAGCAAGGTAGTATTGAATTGTCCTATCCACTGTGTAGGTATTAGGTAAATTAATGTATAAAATTAGCAGTAGAGGTATTTGGTGCACTTTGGCAGCATGCTGATGAAGATTTCCAAGGGAGATAATTCGGGTTTGGAAAGAAAGGCCTGGAAAAGGGGAAGTCAAAGAAAAAGTGACATTGAAATGTCCTTGCTAATAAGCTTAACACAAAAGATGTTCAGAAAGAAAATGTTTATGTGTCAGGAGTTTTAGGTGAGGGCAAAGAGAACTCATTTTCAGCAAGACCTTATTTCTTCTCTCTTGCCTGAAAAATGCCTTTGTACCATAGATCCACAGGGAGACAATGGCAATGCCTGTGGTTGTCAACAGGAGTCCCAAACCTCCACTCTTGGTTTCAGCAGCTGCAGACAATCAGGATGCTGCTAACAGGTCAGCCCCTCAAAATCCTACCTTTGGAGGCAGCTGAGGAGTGTAAGTAAGGTAAATTATCAGTCTTCTCCAGGGTTTCTTCTCCCTTTCCTACTGTTTGTGCTGGCTCCTGTAGCCTACTAAAGATCTATCAGGGTAAAACTACAAGGGCAACTGGAATAATTAATTTAACTTTTTTATTCCTTCCGAGAGGTTTGTGATGTGTAAGTTTTGCTAGAGATTCCCTTCTGCACCTATATGAAAAATTCCTGTTGAGTGTATGAAGTGCCTGATAATCTTTCTGAAATTCATTCACTTCACTAAATATCACATTCTGTTCAAGGCTGCTCTGAGGAAAAAACAACCAAAGCAATATGAAGCTGGGTATTTTATGTAGATGAATTCTTCAATCTGATTACAAAGTAAGGTGCTTTACACTCAGTACACAAATACTACTTCTGTTATACCTGAAAATTACATTTTATTTTCCATCACTGTAGTCACTAAAAGTCCTAGGGTGTTCATGTCATAGTATGAATGTACATTATAAGATAAAGGAGGTTTTCTCAAATTGTCTTTAAACCGTTACAGCTTTTTAGAAAATGATACAGTTTGGGGTTATTCAATAGTTCTGTATAGAGAACCACTGTCAGCTTTATTGCTTATCTATACTATGTCTCAAAAAAAACCCTGTAAAAACAGTATGAAAATGTGACTGATTTCCTAGTGAAGGGAAAGGGTGAAGCAAAATTCTCTGCACTGTGTAAAAAAGTAGATAGCGAGTGTGACCTTCAAGTGGATTATACTCCTTTAGCCTATTTCCAAACTTCCAAAATTGGCTACTTCAGTGTGTTGCTGCTGAACTGCTCAAATACTACACATATCATGGTATTATCCATATGGCTGATTTCTGGCTGACAATTTGTTCCCTTTTCTTATACATTAAGCTTTCAAAATTTTTTTGTATCTTTGGTATGATTAAGTCTGTTGCCTAGTATTCTGGAGGGCATGGCAGTTTTACATTGTACCCTGAA